TTAACACGTTGACTGCGGTACATACCTCGGGGGGTATGTACTCATTATAAAAAATATGCGAATCTCAATAATCACATTTTTACTGTATCTTGTGGAAGTTGCAGAATCTGTAGTTTTTAGAAATAATGATTTTTCTATTATTTTCTTTTCAAAACTCTTTGCGAATGAAAACGTTAGTATCCTAGGATATATAGTTACAGATACATGCAAGTTTATAGCAATAATTGTGTTATTTTTAATTTTATAGGGTCAAATGTAAAAAAAATGCATATCCCCAGGGATATATACCGCACACAGAGGAAGTTTTGTTACATATCCCCGAAGATATGTATCGCAGTCACGGACAAAGTACATTGAGATTATCTCGCAGTCAACGTGTTTAATATACTTCTTAAGACTTATTTAATTTTGTGTTATATTCTCTTAATACCTTTACAAGTATTTTTAAGTAGTTAGTGAATTCTTTAATTTTTTTTAATACTTATATTAAAACATATTTCTTATTTTTTAAAATTATTTGTAATTGTAAAATATACTTTACAAAAATATTGTATCTATTTCTAAAACATTTAAAAATTGTTTAGCTAAGCTATTTCTTACTTATTAAAATTATATAATAATATATTCTTAAAAAGAATTCCTATAAAGTTAGAAATAGACGATTTTAATAAAATATGAAATTATTAAAGAAAAAAAAAAACTTTAATTTTGTGGCTGGTTTATAGATAATTTATTATACTATATCTATTTTTCAGGCAAAATATCATGCAGTTCATGTCAAAAATTTCACTGAAAAGTATGGCAATAAATACTTATCTGTTAAACAAATAACACCTGAAGACGGCACAACAGAATGGGCAGCACGCGATTTATCTTTGTAAGTAAAATTTTTAAATTTAATGGAATCTATTCAATTTTAAATATCATTGTAATACAAAAAAAATAATCTGAAATATATCATTTTACATTCAGTTCAAATGAATCATTCCAAATTCTTGTAGTTTTGGAATATAAATTAGTAATAGAATATACATATATCATCATTAAGTTTTCCATATTCGATAAACAACATCAAACCGTATAATCTGGTTAAAACTTGCCATCTTATTTCCTGCAGAATTATTACTGTCCCTGGTAAAATTAAAAATAACTGTTGTAATTCTTAAATAAAGATGCAGGGTGTTGAAGTTGAAAAAATAAAAACTATTTTCAGGCATATCTCGGAGATACATTAAGGGATATTTTTCTAATTTGATATGAGGAGTTTTAACTGGGACCTACATCATTTGCTGTGAATTCATGTCAATATGTCTTTTTAAATGTCTTGTTAGGGCACTGCGTAAAGCGGAAATAAATAACATTTTCCAAATATTCAATGATTTTTCAGCATAAAAGGTAAACTTGTTGAATATCACTGCGAGACACCATTTTTGAAAAAACTGCGTTTAAAGTCGGCAAGGAAGTACAGTTTGTGAATAACATAATTACGAAACTTTGAGACTCATTTGTCTAGTAGATAAATGTCATTAATGCAATGTTACTTCCAATTTGTAGAAGACAGTGCACAGTGTTACGGCATAATTTTTTTACAAACAGTGAAATGATGGATATGGTAGCAGTTTATGCTCAAGAAAATTTTAATGAACACGCCGCAGCAAGGCTTAAGGCAAATATTTATCGTAATTGAGAACAACCTGACCGAAAATTATTCTCTAGATTAGTTGCAAGATTAAGAGAAAACGGTACATTTAAAAAAAAGGGTAGTCATGGTAGACCCACAATGCGAACTATTGGCTAAGAAGAACTAGTATTAAATTTGGTATAAGACGAGTATCCGACGAATTTCCACAAAAGTAACGCTATGTAAAAGTATACGAGTAGTTTCCATTATTCTTCATGAACAACAATTGTACCCATACCATTATACACTGGTGCATAATTTATTGCCCAATGACTTTTTACCAAGAGGAAATTTTTTGCCAATTCATCTTAAGGAAATTCTTCTGAAGATCCATCTTTTATAAATAAAATTTTATTCACTGATGAGGCAACTTTAAAAAAAATATGGTCATATGTGGGTCGAAGAAAATCCAAATAAAAACACTGTAAGACACTTTCAGCATGCATTTAAGTTTAGTACTTGGTTTGGAATAATTGATGATCATCTTCTTAGGCACTTTGAATTTGCGGCGTCTTTAAACGGTCAAAATGGTGCCCCTGCATCCTCTAATAGTAAGAAACCATTTAGATAACATATTTTCTCATCGATAGATAGGAAGAGGAAGTGAACACAGATGGCCTCAATGTAGTTCAGATCTAAAACTTTTTGATTTTTTGTTTCTGGGGTTATATTAAGGCCACGGTTTATAATGCTGCCTCTATCAACAATAGAGATAAACTCTGGCAAAGAATAGTTGCATGTGCAAATACTATAAGAAACCTGAACCCATCATTTTTCACTGTTCGGAGAAATTTTGTAAAAAGATGTCGATGTTTAGTCAAATGGGGGACATTTCAAAAATAATTTTAAACATAATTAATGTTTTTCTTAGTTCTTCTTGGTATATTTTATGAATTAATTATTTGTTACACAAAAAATGTTCTTTATATTTTTATTTTAGTTTCCTTAATTGTTTGATATGTTTTACTATTGTAATAACTGAAATATCATATATAAACAATATATTGTAAAGTATTAAAATATTTTAATGTTCATTAATGCTATTTAATTATCAAAAAATTATGTTTCTATAACACAAGTTAGAAATTAATGAAGTTACGTTATCCACGAACTGCACTTCCTTGCCGACTTTAAATGAATTTTTTTCAAAAACGGTGCCTCAATGATATTTAACAAGTATACCTGTTATATTGAAAAATCATTGAAAATTTTAAAAATGTTGTTTATTTCTGCTTTACGTAGTAGCGTAACATTTATTTTTTAGATAAGGGTCTCGAAAATATAGTTTGCACACCACTGGTTTTTTGTATTGACGTGAAATACAGCAAATGATGTAGGCGCCTGTTAAAACTCCTCATATGAAATGAGAAAAAAATCCCATATCGTAAGGAAAATCGTTTTTATTTTTTCAACTTCAACACCCTGTATCTCGAAAACTAAGTGTTTATGAGCAATATTGTATATGACTTTTTCCCCATTAATTTTCATCGTAGAATCTAGTGGTAAAATTTGGCCAATTCTTTAACGGACACCCTGTATACAGGGTAGGAAAGTACTGATGGTTTATCTGAAGTTACGTGAGAGCAATAAAGTAAGCCATAGAAATCCATGTGATAGACAAGGATGGGTATAGTGAAGGCGTCTAATAGTCACTGCCCATTTCACCCTTTCACAAATAAGAAGTGGATCTTATTTGTGGAAGGGCGAAACGGGCGGTGACTATGAGACGCCTTCATTATAGCCATCCTTCTCTATCGCATGGATCTCTATGGCTTACTTTATCGCTCTCACATAACTTCAGATAGACCATTGGTACTTTCCTACCCTGTAGATAAGATTAACAAGAAAAACTAAGTAATTTTTTTCCAAGGTTTTCATTTATACTTTAATATCTAGGGTTTATTATAAGAAAAAGAAACTCGTTTATCAAAGGTTTGATAAAATTTCAGGGCAATAAGTTTAATAGTTTTAAATGTTGTTTAATAACAAATTTGGTTAACTAAATATTTTTTATTTACACAGTGCAGAATTCAAATTACTAAATTAACGAGATCATTATTTTTAGGGATCAATGTCTCTCCAAAAAATGTGATTTATATTTTTCTGTGGATTCTATTGCTCATCTAGACAACCCTTATACACTTCGTTTACTCATAGAACAAAATCGTACAATTGTAGCTCCCATGCTCACCAGACCTGGCAAAGCCTGGAGTAACTTTTGGGGTGCACTGACTAAAGATGGCTTCTATGCACGTTCAAATGATTACATGGACATTGTGCACAACGAAAAGAGGCAAGTACTTTAGTAGTTAGAAGTTTTGTATTGTTTACTTTGTGTGTGTAAGTTGAAAATCCTATAAATTATTTATTTTTTATAACAAGGTATTTATGTATGCCATTATTTCAAATTATTTAATCAAAAGCAATACTGAAATCAGTTTTAAAGGATCTTCGATCTATGGAGTACATATTGTCGGCTGTACATTCATAAACACCAGCATCCATTTGTGTTGCAGGATCTATTTCTAGTTTGCTTTTTATTTTGTCTACACCAATTTGCCACTCGTGTATCTGCAAAATTGAAAAAAAAATTATGGAGAATTTATTGTTACATACTAAATGATGTAGTGATATGTATATGTAAGTTGACATGCAGTAATGTTTTGTCAATCCGAATTTCAATTATCCAGATTTCTTAGTTATCTAGACCAATTTTCTTCCCAATATGTACTCTATAATCTGGTAATAATAAATAAGTTTTTTTTATTAAAGTTAATTGATACATTTGTTTTATTATTATAGTAATTATTATACAGGGTGAAGCAGAATGAAGTATACATTTTAAATTTAGTAGGTTTAATTAGTGACTAAATTATTATTCATAAATCAAACAAAAGTTTTTGAGAAAACAGGGAAATCGTATTTGTTTAAAATTATATCATTTAAATTACCACCATTCTTGAAGTTTAATTGGAAAATTTTGCATTACCCATGCTAGCATTTGAATTGGGATTGCGTTAATCTCTATCCGAATATTATTTTTAAGTTCGTCCAAAGTTTGTGGTCGAGTAGAAAACACTTTTGACTTTACGTAGACCCATAAAAAGAAATTACAAGCTGATATAGGTATGTGGTAACCGTGCCGGCCAGTTGAGGTCACCAAATTTCAAAATGACGTGACCAGGAATATACTTCGCAGAATTGCCATAGACTCCCTAGCAGTGTGAGAAGTGGCTCCGTCCTACTGAAACTATAGTCAAATATTCACATCAACATTATGAAGTTGTTACTCAAAGTTAAGCAATACCTACTAATAATGTTTTGATGTAACAGTAACAAGCAACTCATTTTCTTCAAAGAATGGCCCAAAAATTCGAAAGGCTGATTTTTTCACTATGAAGTGGTAATTCGTGCAGTTGCTGAGGATTCTCCATCGCCATAACGAAAGTTATTTTTGTTAACATAATCTGATGGATGAAAATTTTCCTCAAAGAAGAATGGCCCAAAAATTCGAAACGCTGTTATTGCACTCCACACGTACCTTTTTCGCTACGAAGTGGTAATTCGTGCAGTTGCTGAGGATTTTCCGTCATTGTTATATCATATATGTATAGAAAAAAGAAGATAGATGTTGCTAGGAAGTAGTTGTAAATAAAATAAAAGAGAAAGTGACATATAAAAAATTATTGAACTGTTAAAATATAGTTTTGTATTTTTAAAAGATAATAAAGAAGAGAGAAGGAAGTCTGAGTGATTATTTATAATAGAAATTTAATAGGGTTATGGGTCCAGAATAAAATGCACATAGCTGTGGATGTTTTGAAATAATTCGAACAGTGAACAAAAGTTTTAAGAAAACAACGATATGTTAAGCAGAGAGAAATTCAACATTGTGCCCTTTGCTGGGGAAAATTTTGCAGCATGGTCATTCAGAATCAAAAGTATACTACGTGAAAGTAAAGCTATAAAAGCTATTGAAGATGAACAGTTCAACGAGAAAACAGAAAACGAATCTATAGAAGCACGAGCTCAAGCAATTATAATAGAGATTTAACAATTGACGATATCCGGGTTTTCAGCAAGTAACATTTCGAAACACTTGCAAAAATCGACGTGTTCCAAATTCCAAAATCTTGTGGCAAAAGTTTTTGTAGGGATGGGAATGTATTCTTTCAGAATGCGACAATAACTTCGGTTTGAAATATTGATCGTTTAGGAGTTCGTAACACAGGTGTCTTTACCTTTCAGCATTTCAGGTGTACATACAGTACACGTTCCTCCTTTTGGTTTTTCTGTGACACATGAGCAGTACAGCAGAACTTATTTACCCACTTTCTAATTGTTATTCGATTCGGAACTGGATCTTGTGGATTTAAATGAAAGTGATGAGGGAATAGATGCTAGGTGGTTACAATGGACTTATTATTCTTAAAATAAATTTCAACCTCCACAGAACGTTGAATGTTTGACCAACGTTACATATTCACAACTAAACTGACATTTCTGGCAATCGCTTTGACAACTGTCTTATACTTCTATTTCTCGCAAAAGCATGGCGACTTGATCTGAATTTGTGACTCACTATAATATGAAACAAACTAACATTGTATAACCCTGTATAATATGTGTTATAATAGAGCAACACTTTGGTAATCATAATTTTTGGGGATTTCGGAAATGATAAGAAATAGAAAAATTGTTAAATAGCAAAGTTAGACTACTGGATTGCTAACTTAGTGATCTGCTCTAACTGTTTTTTTCAAATGTTTTTGAAAAAGAACGGGATATTTATATTCAAAAACTTACTGTATATATTTGTTGTCAGCATTTATTAATTTTAATTTGGAATTACATTGTACACAAAAAAGGCTATACTGGATAAGATATTATCTAAATTGTTTTTGTAGCGATATTTACTGTACTTACATGTAGATACTGGTGGGTAAATATTTCATTTCCATCTTTATACCATGTGATATGAGGTCTGGGATTTCCTCGTGCCAAACATAAAAATGCTATTTTATGACCTAACACATATTCATAATCAAAATGTGAGGCCAGTGTTATTTTAGCTCCCTAAAACATATAGAATTTTAATTACTGTCGATAGATTTTTTTAAAATTTTTAATTATCCATTATAAAAAATTGAACACAATTTGTGCCCTAAATATTGAGAACAGAAAAACACATAAATAAATATATATAATTTTTATGATTCCTGATATGGTGACATGTTTTATAAAATTGTTTTTATAACCAACAAAATATAATTCATTTGATATGAAGCTTAAGCCAGATGAGCATTTTAAAGTGTCACACTGAAAGCTGAAATCGATTATAGTGCAAAATAAAATCGCTAGAAGGTACTCTTATAAACTTTCTAAAATTGCCACTATTTTCTCCATCTAATATATTTAAAATTTTATTTTTATTATATTTCCTACATGGTTTTTGATAAACTAGTGACAACTACCTTCATGATGGTTGTTATAGTATTTACTTCCATTAATCATTCAACATGTTTTTTCAATGATATACAGGCTGTGACATTCGCTTCCCACTACAGGGATCTTGGAAACGGTAAGAGATATGAAGTAGCTTAAATGGGGGCAAAGTTGCGTAATCAGGGGACCAACATTATACCTCTAAAAAATCAAGGCTAATGTGAATAGTTTTCGAAATATTTGAAAAATAAACGAAATTTTGGAAATCCGTTTTTGTTTAATTTCAGCCTTGTTTGAGGTGATATTGAAAAAAGAAGAACATTTTATCATGGCAACTTTTTGCCCTCTATCGAATGGCATAATCAGTTTTTATATGTAACCTTTCGTCTCTCCACAACCATCATCATCATTTTTTTAAATACGACCCTGGAAATTTTATTACATTTTTTGCAAGCCTTCATGACTCCCAATATTGAACTGCTTCAGTTCGAACCAGATTCAAACGTTTTGTCTCTAAATATTCATCTTCAATGTATTTGTTCCAAATGTATCTAATTTTTTTTAGATTTTTATGTTTCTTGAATTATCATACACTCTAAGTGTCGTTAGACTGTGAAATCCACCTAGTTATTTAAACTATTAGCAGAACACGTTGCAATAAAACATTAGAGTTTTAATCTCCATCACCTGGTCATACATAATTCGATAAGTTATTGCATCAAAATTAAAACATTACTACTATCATAATTTCATTATGACAAATTAATTCTTAAAAATGCATATGAACAACCAAAACTCCAAATAAATATTACACTTTAAAAAATTACAGTATGTGTTCAAAATTTGGCAAATGTTGAAAATTAAGATAAGCATAATATGATGCATATGAACAACCAAAACTCCAAATAAATATTATAGGTACTTTAAAAAATCACAGTAAATATTCAAAAACGTTTCCGTTTTGGCAATTGTTGAAAATGAAGATAAGCGTAGTATGATAGGAATTTATTATACCTGTAACCGCAACTGTGAAATAGCATGTCAGATGTGTTTGTATGAATATCCTGAAAAAAAGTTAGATCGAAATTTGTTTGAATTTTAAGCACTCAATATAGTAGATAATAGTTTAAATAACTAGGTGGCTTTCACAGGGTCTAGCGACACTTAGAGTGCACAATAAATCAAGAAACATAGAAGTCTTATAAAAATTTGGATGAATTTGGAACGAATACATTGAATCCGGTTCGGACTGAGGCAGTACAGTATTGGGAGTCATGAAGGCTTGCAAAAAATGTAATAAAATTTCCAGGGTCGTATTTAAAAAAATGAAGTTGATGATGGTCCTGGAGAGACGAAACGTTACATATCAAAATTGACTATGCCATTCAATAGAGGGCAAAAAGTTGCCATAAGAAAGTGGCTGAAATTAAACAAAAACGGATTTCCAAAATTACGGTTTTTTTCAAATATTTCGAAAACTAATGTTAGCCTTGATTATTTAGAGGCATAATGTTGGTTCCCTGATTAAGCAACTTTGCCCCCATTTTCGTATCTCTTACCGTTTCCAAGATCCCTGTAGTGAGAAGCGAATTTGTAACAGCCTGTATAATATTCATAGTATAAACAAATAACTGAACGAGTGCCTCTATTGCAAATTCATTTGCAAAAAAATCAACAAATGAGGCATCCATTTTACCTCTCCCTGCTTCGAAATCCGTTTTTTGTTAGATATGTATGTGGCGAAGGAGAATTAACTCAAGAATTGTTTCAAATTCTTATATACACTTTCAACAGATAGCATCTAAATGGCTTCTCACCGAGGCAATTTACCACGCTTTGAGTAGTGTCTACATTGTATGTTTATACATGTTGGCTTTGTCTCAAATTTATATATAGTTTAATGGAAACATCTATAAATAAGGCATGTCCTGCCTTGACTGGCATTATGGTTCCATTCATTGTTTTTATAGAGGATCCCACAAAAATTAGCAGGAAAAATTAAAGAAAAATAGTTCCCATTTTTTATTGCAAAATACATATTCATAAGTTTTATTTTAATTAAGCAATATGTCAAACTGTGGACAAATAAATATTAATATTTTCTTATATTTAAAATTAATGTAATCTGACTCGATTACAAAATTGATTTTCTCGTGCATGGCTAGTGTGATTTTGTAGAACTATATTTTAATTACGCTTATTCTGTTTTGTAATGATGCTAAAGTTTTAATGAGAAATTTCATTTTATGGTATATACATATAGTTAAAGCTTGCCAATTTATTGTAGAAATTCAACCACATTTTTCTTGATAATATTGAAAATATGCTCAGATAAATATGAAACAATAGTTATCAAGAAAAGTATGAATCAACGATATGAAACTGTTATTACAAATAGAGACAAAATACATGATATTAATTTTCTTTTTGTTTGTTATATTCTTTACTACAGTTTCAATACCAATTTATTGGTATAGAACAAGGGTCGGCAAGTAATTTTAGGCGCGGTCCGGATACTTTTAAAAATTTTTAATGAGGTCCATTTAAACTCAAATTTAATCTGCTTACTAACCATTAAGAACTCAAAACACTCACACAATTGTAAAATACTAGAAAAAATGATAAGGTTGACACTCAAACGTAAAAAAAAAACATTTTTTAAATAATTTATTTGAGTAATTTATACGTTCAAAACATTTTTGGCGGTCCAGTATTTTACCTTCCGCGGTCCGGACCTGGACCGCGGTCCGCCAGTTGCCGACCCTTGGTATAGAACAACAGAGTATGGAAAAATGTATTTGATGTTGCCATTTATTTAGTAATAATTCGTGCAGATACTGTAGCCAAAAACTGTTTTTGAAAAATAATCAATTTTGCTTTGTAATAATTTGTACTTACATTATTGTTATTGTAATATTGATCTGATTCTGGGTCCCTATACTTTCCAGTTATGGGTAAGCCAATTTGAAACTAGAACAATTTGATCATTAATCTCACAAATATTTTTTTAGTTACAGTAAAAATAGGAACAAAGAGAAAATATTTTAATTATTACATATACACAGTTTTGCAGCTAGTAATTATTAAAATTATATTTCAAATTTCAATTATTACGATTCAATATTAAATTTTTTACCTTTGACTTGGTTCTACTTCTTGTACGGCCTCTTCTGGATTCAACATTATAAAAAAATAATATAAATACTATCAAAATAACTGAAAAATCTGTTCTCATATTTTTTTAGTTCTGCTACAGACAATAGAATTTGAAGAAATGATAGTGGAAAATCGTTGTTAGGTCCCCTTTAATTCACAGATTGATATAATTTATATCAATTGAGGGATTGCACTACATAATGTTTAGCAACATACATTTATATTTTAATAAAAGCGGTTGTTGAATATTGTTACAGTTAATAGAATAATGTTAAGTTCCATTGCATACAGAACTTACATGATACTTATATTTTACAGATAATTTCTCATAAGTATTTTCATCAAGGAGAGTTGTAGGAGTTTGATTTATAATAATAATTTTCCCAATATACAGGGTGTTCCTTAATGATATGCGAATATTTGCTTGATAAACTATATGGTCCAAATATGTTCTGCTACGAAAATACGGGGTGTTAAAATTTAAGGGAAAAGACGGAAATTAATTTACATTTTCGATACCACTTGAAATATTTCAGTGATATTTAGTACATAGTGATAGTTAATAAAGGCGCATGTTTTTCAATACAAACATAATTTTTAGCTAACAGTGGCATGCATAGGACACTGACCGATATTTTTAAAGAAAAAAATGGTACGCCAATGGTTTTTTTCCCAAATAAAATTATCTTTGAAATCCCCGTTCAATTCGAAATATAAGAGCACTCTTGAGTTTTTGTCCTACGATGCACCGTTTTTGAGTAATAAAATAAAACCCATTATATTGTCCGTAATTAATTAATGTAATTATTGAAGAATACAACTTTGCAATAATCCTAGTTGGCCTGGAATGTGTCATTTGCATTTCTATATAAGAGCATGAATAATTGCAGCATGTGATAGAATAAAAAATATTCTGGGAATATTTCAATGAGTGCGCAATTCCATGAGCAGAAGGGCGAAAACATACATATTGAGTGAAGGAGGCCATTTTCAACAGTTTTTGTAATAATAGTTAGATATTAGTTGTAATGTTTTGTAAATGTAGTATGTACTTAACTGTAATGTATATAATGTTTGCTATTAAATTGTTAATAATTCTATAAGTTTTTTTTTTTACTCGAAAACGGCGCATCGCAGGACAAAAACTCAAGAGACCTCTTATCTTTCGAATTGAACGGAATTTCAAATATAATTTGATTTGGGAAAAAAACCATTAGCGTAACATTTTTTTCTTTAAAAATATCAAAGTCAGTGCTTGTATGCACACTACTGTTAGAGCTAAAAATTATGTTTGTGTTGAAAACATGCGTCTTTATTAACTATCAGTACGTACTAAATAACATTGAAATATCTCAAGCGGTTTCAAAAAAATATTAATTAATTTCCTTCTTTTTCCTAAAATAACACCCCGTTTTTTCGCAACGGAACATTTTTGGACCATAGTTTATAAAGCAAACTATCGTTCATTTTCCATGTAGAATCACACCATTAAATATTCACATATCATTAAGGAACACCCTGTGTTAATACTAAATTGATTAAATTATAACTTATGTCAAATAGAGAGCTCACACATCACAGTTTAAGACATTTAAATTAAAAATACATTATTTGGATCATCACCTTATCAAAATCCATCCATCCATCAAAATAATCTACAATGGTAAAGCTACCAAAAATAAATGCTGATGGATTGAATAATCTGAATGTCTCAGTCAATCTAAAATTTTAAACATTAAGGCCCGGTACTTTGAGTCGGATAAAGCTGGATTAACTAATCAATCGATTAGACTGTGATTATACTTTATAAAATAAATCTGTATATGTACAGTTTAATTGCCCGATCAGTTAATCAAGCTTTAACCGAGACTTACAGTACTGGCCTAAATTGCATAAAATACATTGTTGGATGGCGATAGGAGATTATGGGTCACTATGATGTAGATTGACCATTATTGGTCACCTAAGTATACAGAATGTTCCATTTAAAAAAGTGATCTGTATTTCTGTGAAATTGAATTGTTTTTACAACATAGGTATTAAGAAATTGAAAGTTTTGTTCCACTTTTATTTTTGCATTTTTTTCATATACAGGTTCGGAAAGTCCCCATGGTTCATCGGCCGTTACGTGAGAGCGATAAAGTAAGTCATAGAAATCCGTGCGATAGAGAAAGATGGCTATAATGAAGGCATCTCATAGTCACCGCCCATTTCCCCTTTCCACAAATAAGATCTACTTCCACTTGTAATTCAGCGACCGGCGGTCATCTTTGTGTTCGTTGTTCGCCTTTTCTGTAATAGATGTCACTACTTATACAATTCCGACTATTCAGTATTCCGATATGTTAATACAATCCGTTAACAGAGGGCAGCACAATTTGTCTAAGGTGAGGCGCAGCCCTAGAAAGAGTGATGCCAGATCTACAGATTTTTTTGGGATTGGGGAAATAGGGAATTTTGCTTTATTTCTTGGGATATTTAAGTCATTTTAAAAAGTATACTTAAATAACAACTAAATGAACTTTAAATGCAGATGAGCACTATACTCCATTTGAAGAACTTCTCAGTAGGGGAAACAAGGTCAATAGATTTACAAACAGAGGTATCTACTAGCTACTGTAAAAAATTTTCTTTGTTACGCGTTGTGCTGCCCTCTGTTAACGGATTGTATTAACATATCGGAATACCGGAGTCGAAATTGTATAAGTATTTGCCTATTAGAGAAAAGCCAAATGAGGAAAACAAAGATGACCACCGGTCGCTGAATTACAAGTGAAAGTGGATCTTATTTGTTGAAGGGTGAAATGGGTGGTGACTATGAGAAGCCTTCATTATAGCCATCCTTCTCTATCGCACGGATTTCTATGACTTACTTTATCGCTCTCACGTAACGGCCGATGAACCATGAGGACTTTCCGAACTTGTATATAGTATAACACTATATACATGATAGTAAACTTTTATTTCAGAAGAGAAACAAATACTTGATTTAATATTATTATACATACATATACATACACCATGACAAATGGAACCACACAGTTCCATTTGTCAAACAAAATAATGTAAGGACCTTAAGAATTTCTAACTATTAGATTTTTCTTTTTTAATACTATTTGGTAAGTAATGTATTTTCATACATTGATAGATGCCCCTCACAAAAAGTCTTTTACTGTGTTAGGTAAGTTTAATTCTGACAAAATGTTGTGCTATCTTTTTTAATGTTTTACATTTTCCCCCCTTTAACTATTCCAAACCTAGTAGTATCTGTAGTTTTACAGATATTTTTATGAGTTGATTATATGTAAATGAGGAATGAAACTAAAATATATATTTATTAAATTAATGAACAACAATATGTACCTAGTAGTTTTATATAATAAATAAATATTTGTATAACAAATAACATACCTACTTATCAAACTACTGTAATTGTAAATTAAATTACATACAAAGAATTTATTTTCAGACTTATATAATGCCTTTTTGTTCACTATTGATATATCGCTGGATATATGTGCATTTCGTTCATTACTTAAGTAATTCTATACAAGTACCTACTTTTTTTACAATTTCACCCATATAATTTGCAAACTATTAATTGAAACTACAGATGAAAGTATAGAAAAGTGAAATTGAAAAAAAAATTGTGTTCATTTATACAGGAATATTTTTGTAACATTCTAATCCCATATCTTTTTAATTTTATGAGGTGTTTTCTTTTAAACAAAACACTTTATATTGTTACATATTTAGCTAGAGCAATTCCATAGAATTAGTTTTGATAGGCTAGTAGGAAATATGAAATATGTCCAAAAGGGTATGTCATTTATTTGAAGTATATTGTATCAGGCAAAAGATTGTCTCAATAACTGACTCTTTTTAAAACACTCTTTTGCCCTTATCTCTCTTACTATTAGACATCCTATCAAAGCTTATTTCATTGTAACTGTAAGACATTATTCTAACCAAATATACAAAAATATAGAGGGTGCCTATGTAATAAATCAAAATTTTGGTTTATATCTCATTCAGTATTATTTCTTTTCAATAATCATTTTCCTTTGAAATCATGACAATTGACTAATATTTTTTTCCATTGGTTATGTGATTATCCCTCTATAGTCCATAATTACTAGTCAGAGTGCTACGAAAACTACTAATATGTAACCATAACATAATCTGTCCGAAATCCTCTAGAGTCGATAGCATATTTATTGTTAGCCTGGCACTCATAATACCCAGCATCTTTTTGTGTTGTGGGATCGATTTCCATTTTACTTTTCATTGTGTCATTACCTATTGGCCATTCATGTACCTAAAGTAAATAAGTATATGTAACATTACTTTTCCTTTGTAATTGAACAAATGGATTTTGTAAATAGAATGTTCAGTTTTTAATATGTAAGTTATTCATGATCACCCTTTTTCCAAAATATGTAAATATTTCAACTGAAAAAAAAAAATATGCTCTCAGCATTCATTGTAGATAATACCTTTTTTTAAATTTTGTTTTTTGTAGAGTTTGACATGTATATTTATATAGATAGTGATATCTATAAGAAACTGAAAATTCCTTGGCCAATTAATAAAATATATTAAGTTATTGGGTACATTATTGTCATTAATAAAAATTATTCTTCAAAGTATATTACCTGAAAAAATTTATGGTATATTAATTCAATCCCATCTTTAAACCAGGTTATTTCAGGTCTGGGATATCCTGAAATGTATAAAATGGATATTAATTAATATCAAATTGGCTAATTTGATAGTGATATTTATAAAACCCTTGAAAACCAAAGAAAATCACAAATATCTTAAAGAATTTAACATCCATAATGCCGATATTAAACAAAAGATTATTTAATTTGATATAAAAAAGGTTTTGCTGTTTGAAATTAACGAACTAAAGACAGTAACTAGAAAAATGGAATAATTATTTTTGAAATTAAATATTAATATAACTTCATAATTATATGAATATGGAGATCATCTCATACATCAAAAATTAAGTTGCCATCAGTCATATGGAAAAAGTTATGGATATTCTTGCAATCCTGCTAAAATTTTTACAAATATGGTATCTCCTAAATGGCTATATACATATGGCATACTACATAATTTTTTTATTAAAATTTTGCGCTCGTGCCCAACTTGCAAAAATATGTAGGATGTAAATTAAAGGAATTTGATCGACAGCTATTTGAAGTGTATGTGAATCGACAGCTACTTGAAGTGTATGTGGAAGTTGGCATTATTGATGAGAACATATTGAGAAATCTTGTACACAAATTTCAGTTTGAATTCTTTCTGCATATAGTTCTAACCAAATGCCAGCATGACATACTCTGTATCTCAACTGAATTTATATTTATACAACTCTATGAAAGTAATTATAAATGTAAAATATAAAAGGTTGAAGGTTTTAAAGACTACTTAAAAATTAAAAAAATCTTAATACCTACCTTGTGCCATGCAGAAGAAAGTTATTTTCCTTCCTAACATATATTCTAATTCAAAGTGACTTGCTTTAACTATTTTTGCCCCCTAGAAGAATTTAACAATAATTTATATAAATCATATTTAACGTAATGACAAACTCACATCCTTATTTTCATAGTAGTTCTTTGACGCAGGATTTCGGTGTTGAATTATAACTGGCATCCTAGAGTTGTACAGACGTCCTCTGCCTCTTGCTGGTTTTCCTACATTTAAGTTAAATTAGTAAATATTGTATTTACTTATTCTTTTTTTTTAATACCTCTTCCCCCTCCTCTAGCACAATAGGTAATAGATACACAAAAACATATCACTAACAATAATATAAACAATTTATTAATTATCATTTCAAAAAATTTCCCGAAAAAATAATTGTCTGATTGTAGTGCGTTAAGATTTAAAACTTACTTCCTTTCATTTTTAAGACTCGACTGTAATGGCCCAACAGTTGATAAATTTATTTATTTTGTCATTACCAAATTAATATTCAAAAGGGGACATGGTGGCCATTAAGATATTGCTGTATCGTTCTCAAGGATCCTTTAAGCTGCTTTTAAACATTGGATGTATAATAATTTTTATTTTATTAATTGGGTACTCTATTTCTCATTTTTTAACTATTCAATATGTAATAAAATCTTAATCCTAAGAATTGAAAAAAAAGTACCTATTCTTTACATTCTGTGTTGGGAAAGTTTATTTTTGAGTCTATTGTTAGATGATTCAGTAGCTGGCATATTTATTTATCTTATATCATAAGTATTTAAAAGACTAAATAGGTTGTAAAGGATCAGTTAAAATATAATAAAATAATAATAAAAATCACCGATTTTAGATTTGTATAAGATACATATTTTTTACTACTTTCATTATTTTTTTGTTTGAGTAGTAAATACCTAGAGAAAGTCAAGATATTTATTTTTAAATGTCAGATAGTAAGATATTAAAAAAATATTTTTAAACATATTTGCCATATATTTCTTTACAGTAAATTAATAACAATGTTCATTTTCAGAGGTCTATGGAATGTACCATTTATGGCAAATGTTTATTTGATAAATGCGACACTTTTAAAAAAATATGATAGAAAGCAGTTGCATTATAATAAACCAAATTTGGATGCTGATATGGCTTTCTGCAGTATTCTTAGAGAACTTGATGTGTTTATGTATGTTTCTAATCGTGTTGATTTTGGGCATTTATCCAATCCCGATACTTATGACATAACTAGAGCTGAACCAGACATGTATCAAATATTCGATAATGAAATCGATTGGGAAGAAAAGTATATTCATGAAGAATATCCAGAAAACTTTAATCCTGAAAAAGAGGACAAACAGGTAATGTCAGTATGTCTGTTTTTGCAGAATTATGAACCGAACAAACACTACACCAGCTTGAAACAATTTGAAGCTGCTACTAAAACATAGGATTGCTTTGATTTTTTAATTATATTATAAAAGTTTTTTTTCAGCCTTGCCCTGATGTTTATTGGTTTCCAATTGTGTCAACAAAGTTTACAACAGCTTTAATTAATATGATGGAAAGTTATGGAAAGTGGTCATCGGGGAAACATGAAGATGACCGATTAGACGGGGGATATGAAGCTGTACCTACACGTGACATTCATATGAACCAAGTAGGATGGGAAAGACACTGGCTTCATTTCTTAAACAAATATGTTAGGCCACTTCAGGAAAAAGTTTTCATAGGTTACAGTCATGACCCTCCTAGGTCTTTTATGAATTTTGTAGTACGCTACCGACCTGACGAACAACCAAGACTTAGACCTCATCACGACAGCTCTACATATACGATAAATATTGCTTTAAATCAGATTGGCATTGACTATGAAGGAGGCGGTTGCCGTTTTATTAGATACAACTGTAGTGTCGTTGATACAAAAATTGGATGGATTTTAGTACATCCTGGCAAATTAACTCACTATCATGAAGGATTATTAGTTACAAAAGGAACGAGGTATATTATGATTTCTTTTGTTGACCCTTAAAAAAGTCACAACCAAATTTTACTCTTAATATAAATAAACAATACCTACTTATTTAGAGATAGCGAAGTGTTAGAAGATTTATAGTTTTATTACAAAATCAGAAATATAATAATGCTTGTTATATTTTTAGACTTTTTGCATTTTGCATTACTAATTAAACTAATGGCAATAGTTTAACATCATTGTATTTCACGTTATATGTATTGTAATACTCATATTTTTAGATCTGATTAATTAATAAGTAGAATATATTTAAAACAATAATTAAATGTTATGAAAAATTTTATACCATTTATACCAGTTTGTAGATGACCAAATAAAGGTATTTTTATGTACCTAGTAATTTTATTAATAATAATGGGTACATCTTGTTCCGTCATGTGAAGAACTAGATTTTGAGGCCGTCTAAGTTGCAATAGATAGTCGAAGGATGTTGTGTATTACTGTCTGTAAAACAGTATATTGTGCTAGTATTGTTCTTAATATTGCACTGGAGTTTGTAATTTTTCTATTAAATATACTGAAAAATAATTATTTGAAAAAAAATAAGAGCACACTTCATTAACATTTTGCAAAGATTTCTGCTCTCTGTTAGAATCACAGAAATCATTAAATGAGAGTTTATATATTTATTTCTTCAAATTTTTAGAGGTTGTAAATACATAAAATAAATAAAACCTTTTATTAATACCAATATACAGAGTGGTCCGTCAAGACTGGACAATCCTTTTTTTTATGTATTATTGAAATGAATTTTTTTAAATGTATGATAGCCTTCTAGAAAAGTCAAGTTCGTAATTCATAGTCTGCTGCAAGAATTTTCCATAAAATTACTACGTTTTTTTTAACAAAAATCTGACTCCATACATTTAATCAGCATCATTTAAGGTGGCCATATCCCTGACCGAGAAATAGTCAAATTTCTGGCATTTTTAGGTACCGAAATCTTGAGAAATAAAACGTGTAGAACAAAAGTAAGCCCAAAAATAAAATCCTTGATGTTCTGTTTATTCATTGTCACTATTTAAATTTACTCAATAAAATAATAACTTAAAAAAGCGTTTGTAAAACATGCGTTTGCTGTTATCCTAACTCCACATCTTAACAATTATTTTCACTTACTTATAAATAAAAGTAAACAATTTTATATGTAGGACTAAGCAAGTATATGTTATAAGAATATTTACATGTGGAGTTATATATAAAAAAGTTGATATTTTCGTAAATTTCAGTACCTAAAACCTTGATGGTTTGATCGTTTTTTGCACCTGTTTATTCGTATTACTGCGGCGTCTTTGAAAATACACAGATGTCATGACAACAATCCCGTTATTTGATAAGCTTCAAATTATTGTTATTAAATTACTTAAATTGTCTTTGTGGAAAACACTATTTCAAGAATATGGCGCCCTTAAAACGCCAGTATCTCAAATTTCATCAAGTTATAATGTGGAATATTTTTCTTATAAAGGCTTAAAATTGTATATTTTGTAAGGTTTCTATCTTAGCTTAGTAAAAAAATTTAGGAGTGATTGGAAATGTCTATGGAAGAAAAATTAACCAATTTTAAGTCTTGCCTAAAATTGTGAAAATAACTTAATAAGCGCATCAGGCAGTGTTAATGATTGATTAATTTTTTATGTTGCAATTTCCAATGCCTCCTAGATTTTGAAATGGAAACTGAATCTTGATAAAACTGAAGTTTTAAGTTTGATTAAAAAATTCTTATTCTGTATTATATATCTTAAAATTTAAGGTACTGGGGCTATAAGCTCCGTTTTATGTCGAACGTTTATAAAAAAATTCCTAAATTGTCTGGAAAATTGCTTTTCAAAAAATTGCAGCAAGTCACAGTGTACGAACTGAATCTTATTTGGTTTAGCAAGTAAGTCACTATATGGGGTAGGCCATTTTAATTTATCCACACAAATTACTGCGAAAGTGTAGTTGATTGCAAAAATCGACCCTTAAAAAATTGTAGAGTTCAAAAGGGCCAAATTAAGATGACCTTGAAGTCGATTTTCAAGGTCATGTGAAGATCCACTTTTTCTTAGAAACTTATTTTTGATCGTCGATTGGGAAAGTGCAGGAAATTTTACATTCCGATAGTTCTTATGCGTCAAAGTTACCTTCAGCGGTAATCACAGTAAAAAGTCAACCTTCAAGTGTTCAAAAATCTGTTAAACGACCTTTAGCTTTAGCAAGAACGACTTGGATATGGGAAGGTTATGTTTGCTTTAGGGTGCTTAAGTAGAATGAGTCCCCTTGCTTCTCAAAGAATTAAAGAAATAGTTCGAAAACATTTGCAGTTTGATGGAAACATAAACCAATTCTATGCTGAAAATGCTGAACTATCAATAATACTGCCTTCGTATTTTAGCAGGTGGTGCCGATTCTGTTCATCATAATATTTCCTTTAGTGGTTGTTGCTTAGTCAAAGACAACATTTTTCAGACAACCCTATAAATAGAAGTCCGGTGAAGTTAAATCTCAAGATCTTGGTCATACAACAGCCTCATCATATCCAATGCACCTGTTATGTAAACGGTTATTCAAATGAGCTTGAACTGTCTGGACAGAGTGTGGGTCAGGTCCATCCAATTGAATCCACATTGTCTGTAATACTGGAAGTTAATCCCTCAGAAAATTTATTATTATGGTTGATTCTGCATTTTCAGTAGTTACTGAGGTATCAATGCAGGTTTTTAAATTGTCTAGATCTTCCCCATCTTTTGGAAAATTTGGTGTTGTAGCTCTGTGTAGATATTATCCTGACAATCATCGGTGATTTCATAAAATATCGATTTACTTCGATTCGAAATTTTATGAAGAAAATGTGAAAATACCGTTTTGTAGGAACATGTATAAAAAATCGAGATGTCATATTAGTTTAAACATTAGTCAGTGGTGCTTTTCAAAGATGTCCCAAGTTTGCTGGAACATTTCATGCTTTAACTAGAAAGTTTATTGAAAGCGAACCATTAAAAAGTTTCAGCAGCATTACGTACAGCAACTTGCTTCAAGTTGTCATCCAATTTATAAAAGAAATGTTGCAATGGAATGGAATTATTTACATTGCTGTAAATTTTCTGATAAAAATATCTAAAAAGTCTAATGTTCATATACGGTACAAAATGTACGTTAATATTTTAATATAACTATAGGGATACATTTCTAAAATAGGTAATGGTGCATTTCAAAATTGGCATTGTAAAACGGCATATTTTCTGTCAAGTCGGTAATTGGTCATACTTTCCTAATTAGTGCTATTTCTGCTGTTTGCACAGTCACACAATATCGGCAGTCCGCACAATCTCCATCCACTGTGGATGATAGATGATGCAGAAAGAATAATGTAGTTAAGTGAGTTACAAGAATCATAAATAATTTCTTTTATGGCATCAGATGAGGATTAGATATGAAAGTAAGTAAATACTTATTCTATTATATTATATTATAATATCTATTATAATATAATATACAGGGTGTTTCGCATAAGAACCGACAAAGAGTATGGGCATGTAGAGGAACCCAAAATATGGTGATTTAACGCAACTTACCTTTATAGTAAGCTGCACCCCTGAGAAGTTATAGGCCTTGAAAGTGGGGTTTCATATTTCGAAAAAAAATCAATGTCTTAGTTATACTTAGAAATACCAAATTTGAATTGAAGCACTTTAAAGGGTTGATAAGGGATGATGCACCATTAAAATGTGACAGAATTTTTTAACCCATTGGCAGACTTCTTTATTTTATGGGGAATTTAATTCTAAAACGTCTCTTACTCTTGTTAGTTTTAAAAAACGTCGTTTTCAACAAAAACACGAATAACTAATAATACGTATTGTAGCTGTTATCTAAAATGATCGAAAATTCAAAAGTTGGTTATGAATTTAATGGTCAAACTTGACAATCGGGAAAAAAGTAATTTAATTTTAGTAATTGTTTTCATTTAGCGAACAAGTTGACATGCTATTAATATTAGGTTTCTGTGAAGGAAACTCTGTAGCTTCTGTAAGAAGGGTTGAAGAATATCGGAGAAGATTTCCAAATCGTGTATTCCCCTATAGAGAATCATTTTCCAATCTATTGCAATCGGCGCACAAAATGAACTTCTTTTGAATACAATTGAAGGTGATATGTATCACAACCTACACACACACAGTTGGCAACTTTGAGACCCTTACAGATTTATTGAATACTTCATTCTAGTCTTATCAACGATACGAGTGTTCTCGATATGGACCATGTCACCAAACATTCATTGATTAAGTGCGACAAAATGTAAATCATAAATTAATTTTTTTCACTATGTCATAAAAAGAGTTAAAGTACGAAACTTAGCCCAGTCATTCTATTTGATAGTATAAACAAGTTAAAGGGTGGCAACATACCCCAATAAGTAAATCATAAATTTATTTTTTTCACTATGTCATAAAAAGAGTTAAAGAATGAAACTTAGCCCAGTCATTCTATTTGATAATATAAACAAGTAGCCGGAGCGCCAATCCCTTGCAAGCCATCTAAGGGGTAGCAACCTACCCCAATATGTAATTCTTAAATTTATTTTTTTCACTATGTCACAAAAAGAGTTAAAAAATGAAACTTGGCCCAGTCAATCTATTTGATAGTATAAACAAGTAGCCGGAGTGCCAATTCCTTGCACGCCGACTAAGAGGTAGCAACATACCCCAATAAGTAAATCATAAATTTATTTTTTGTCATAAAAAGAGTTAAAGAATGACACTTAGCCCAGTCATTCTCCGGCTACTTGTTTATACTGTCAATGAGAATAACTAGGTCAAGTCTCATTCTTCAACTCTTTTTGTAACATGGTGAAAAAAAAAAAATTATGATTTACTTATTGGGGTAGGTTGCTTCCCCTTAGACGGCTTGCAAGGAATTGGCACTCCGGCTACTTGTTCATACTATCAAATAGAATAACTGCGTCAAGTCTCATTCTTTAACTCTTTTTGTGACATAGTGAAAAAAATAAATTTAAGAATTACATATTGGGGTAGGTTGCTACCCCTTAGACGGCTCACAAGGAATTGGCGCTCCGGCTACTTGTTTACACTATCAAATAGAATGACTGGGCCAAGTTTAATTCTTTAACTCTTTTTGTGACAGTGAAAAAAATAAATTAATGATTTACTTATACAAAAGAAATGTAATAACTCGTATTTGAGTTCCATAGCTTTCCAAGTTGTTTTAGGAAATTTTGTCACGAGTAGAATTGTGTGCCGAATGATAATATTTTACACAGTACTCGAAGGAGTCTGTTTGATAGGACTCGTTGGAGTCTATGTGTACCGCTGTTCCGAGGTACGGGTCT